ATAGGGCAATCATCCTGATCTCTTCCAGGTGTGACTCATTCTGTAATCAGGGGTGGCTACCTCCAGCAGGAGCCACCCCGTTACATACTGGCCACAAGAAATCAATGCTATAGCAGGTATATTTCCAGATCCTGACTCCCCTTGTAAAACATCTCTTATGATTCCTTTTTCCTTGCCAGCTCAGTGCTTACGGGATATATCTTTCTCATCTCTCATCAGATAGCTCAGGGGACAGAGGACCCAGTGGTTCAGTTTCTCTCTCTCTCTCTCGGAGTCTGAGCAGCAGTCTTCTTTCTCTCCCCCAATACTGGGCATGTACAGGCAACATTTTGGGATCTCTCATGTGTGAAAGGCTCTCTATAAAAACATATTTTTAACATACATACATACACACACCTGCACACAGAGACACACACACTTGACAACAGATGAAGGGTGTAGAATGTAATCTTTTAGGACAGGTTTTGCATTGTGTAATTTGTTAGTGCCCAGAGATTTTAGTGATGGACCCACTAGATATTCAAAGACAGATTCTAAACGTATTGGTCTTTTTATTCTCTGTCTGTACAGTGCCTACCAGAATGGGGTCCATGACTAGTGCTCCCAGGCACTAAAATAATATAAATATAATAATAATTAATAATAATGGTCTCTCAGGCAGATTTTTAACAACAATTTTGTGCAAGTCTGTGTTTAAAGATTTCTTTTTCACATGTAGTACACTGTCAAACTGCTTACAATAAAATGTATTACTTACAACTCCTGAGTAAACTAAAGTGTCTTCTAATGAGGCCCTCGCTGGCCACTACTATGAAGTGAGAGACACTCCTATCTCTAAACAGAACACAACATATTTCACTATCTGCAGTATATTGCGTTACAAATTGCTTAGTCACATGCACATCAAGATCCCTATAGCTTGCCTGGATATAATATAGGTTTATTTAATTTCTTAATGATAGGGATAAAAATCACCTATGTTTGTTTCCAGCGAAAAGGTAAAAACATTTTATAAACTGGCTTGCAGATAACTCACTGTAACCTATATGACAATTTATGACTATTTGACTAAATGAGGGTTTGGTTTTCAAAAAAAGTATCTTTGCTAGGTTCTGAATACAGAACAACAAGCTCCAAAATGTGCATCAACACAGTGAAACATTTAAATCTTATTCTCTTTAACTCCTCCAGACTCTTTGGAATAGGATCAACTGAAGAGACTTTTGAATGGTACTCTGCAGACACTGTAGAGCATATACAAGTGATCTACTGCTGAAAATGAAAATTTTTTTTCATACTTTTCAGGATAACACTTTAAATCCTTAAGTACAGTTTGTTTATATACATATATATATACACACACACACACACATACATATATACATACATACACACACACACCGGTGGTGTGCCATATTTTATATATATATTTTATATATATGGCACACCACCATAAAATAAGTATTTGAATAAGGATATTAATTATTTTACACAATACCATTGTTAACCATATTATAGTCTGGAAATAGGAACTGCAATAGTATCAATCTCAGACCAACTGTTTTATCATTTTGTAGAAATATTTCAGTTTAATTAATGGAACCCTCCTGTCTAAATGCTATTAGATGATTCATACTTTTTTTTTAAACCTGGTTTAAACAGAACTCACAAATGTCCATTTGCAGTTAAAAGGGGTTAGTTACTACGAACACTAAAACTGGCATTGTTTTTCTGTTATCAGGTTACAGTAGCTCAGGTCTCTAAGCACCAGAATCCCCCATACAGCTGATCAGTTACAGCTGTTAATTGTGGAGCAAGGGACTGCTGACATCTGCTTCTTGCTTAGTTAGTTAATGGTTCACTTCCAGGTCCTAAAAGGATTGCAGCCTCTCTCAAAAGACAATGTTGGACCCCATCTATGTCTGCCTTTTACACTGCCTGTCTTGTTCTGGTTTGTCACTCTCCATACAAAGCAAATCTGAGTGAACTCACATCTGGCACTGATCGACCCAATTCGTGAGCAATCTTTTCCCATCGACCTGGGGTCCCCCCTGGGAACTTAACCATACTTCTTGTCAGCTGGCTAAGGTCCTCTTCTGTCCATTCAGGTGCCTGCAAAACATTTGTAAAACATTTATTATGCTGGGAAAATGAAAAAAATGTAGTTGGATAAAATAGTGAAGACATTAAATAAATTAATCAAATAATGGCTATTGTAACTATGTAATTTAATACGGTTTCCAAAGCTTGTTAGTTGAATGCTCTGTTACAGAAAACAGTACATAAAAACAGCCGTCAGTGAAGGAACTTGAACCATTAAAAATATTTAATATATAAAATGTACATTAGTGCAGTAGACACATTTAACTTATGTCACTATGAAAAAAAGCAATAAAAATCAAAAACAATTTTACTGCTTAAAGATTAAACCACAGTCTAAGATATCAACATTTTAGATAATATATAAAATCCTCTTACGTATAACTGAATGATATATGAAGGAAGAGAAATCTTTAAAAAGTCCTCAATTGAAAAAAATACTGAGAATAATCCTAAAATGTTATTTATATATCTGTATCTTAAAACAGCATGCCCAATTCAGTCAGTTGTTAAAGCCCCCATAATGTATTATATGTTAACATTTTGGAAGTGAAATCTGACAATTTTACATTCCATTGAGAATTTTTTTTTTAAAAGCACCTAAATCCTGTGGCTTCTGTGCACTGTACACGAAGAAAACAGAAAGGAACTGGACATTTTCAAAGAGCAACAAGGCCCAATAACCAAAATATAAAACAATGTTCTACCGTAACAGCATGCTGTAAATTGTAAATAATTTCCTCCTTTATGACAACCATATAAAACTGAGTAAAAAGCAAGAAAACACTGGTTCCTCAGATATAATTGTCAAATTAACTATTAAATCTTTGTATGTTAAATTGCCTCTCCAAGAACACAAGGCTCTGTACCCAGCCTTCCACACTAGTAAAAGAAGGGACTATTGAACTAAGCATTTGTAAAAAGTAGTTAACCATTTCTATTTTTTTAAAAGAATCCTTTATGATAAATACCTTTTCTAATCACCATTTCTGATAATGAACAGGCATATATCAAGCAGTTTGCATTACAGAGCCATCAGCACAGAACAACAGTCAGAGGTGAGTGACCCCAGGGACCATCTCCACAGCTACAGCAAAGCTTCTCCCTGACACTAATCCTGCCTGTCATTCTCCCACTGTGCTCTAACCACACTGACATCCGCCTGCCGCACTGCAAGCTTAACGGGCCCTTCCTGACTTTTTACTGTCTCCCCCAATCAATGGTTCAAGCGTGCTCTTTTCACCATGTCCAAATGGCAGCTTCACTCATAATCAAAGTGCACTGCCCCTGTTAAAGGGCTTCCCGAAAGGCTCTACCATTTGCATTCATTTGCAAAGCAAACTACTTTTATTCACTTTGTTCTGCTATCAAGAATGTTCCCTGAAGCAGATAAATTGGCATAAATACAACCTGCCACTTAAGAGACAGTAAATAATAGCCAATAGTGGGGAGGATTTTATCAATTGTTCTATTTTGTAGCCACGTAATTCTTTGTTCATCAAATGCTAAAAGCCTCAAAATATTCATATTTATATAGCTTTTAATACAAGCATGAATTCATTATCAGTTTAAATGCAACACACACAGTAGTGAGAGAGATATAGCACATACCCACTTTATTATATATGTAGTGTATGAATACTAGTGGCTTGCAAAGAACATGCTAAATACAAACCAGGTTTCATTATCACACAGTAACCTTACAGTTTATTTATTGTAAAAGCATACATGTTCTGAATTAAAACTTCTTTATTTACATATTTCCATAACTTTGGGGTTCATAGAAGTGAAGTTATTGGGTACCTATACATATTCTAATTTTGAAAATATAATTCCAGGACTATTTATTTATTTTTAAAATAAAAGAGGCTAAGTAAAGAATTTTAATTAATAAGTTTTTCATACGTAGTATAGAACCGCACACACTGAATGTAAGCATTAGTAAATGCAATTTGTTTCAGTAACAAATGAAAATTATGTTTTACATTGATTTCAAATGTAAATGCTTGTAGCACAAAAGTATCTGCACAGATGTATCTTAACACAATATTCAAAGCATATCCAAACAATTTCACACAAAAATCAAAGTCATATTTCTGCACTAATAGAAACATTTTAGAGGTAACAAATTGTCTGATATGTTTTAAATTCTTTAAAACCATTTTTTGTAAGATTTGATTCTTGGATGTGCTGCATATTTTAATTCTTGTGTGTAAATGTTACAAAAGTAAACACATCATTTTCCTTAGCTATCTTCATCATATAGGAATTCTAATAAAAACCTACTGTCTACTGATCTTTAATAAACAATACTGATCTTTAAAAAATAAACAAACAAACCTACTAATTCTATGTGCATCTATGATACCAATATGTTGAATGTACTGAATGAAACAATTATTTCAATAACATGGTAACTTACAATAATACAATTTAAAACAATAAAATAAAAATAAGGACATAAAATTGATAGGTCTGAAATTCTTTAATAGAGCTTTTTAGGAATCCATTATTAACCACAAGTGCTGTAAAGAGCTTTGGTGAATTTGCAATTCCTCAGCAACAGATAATTGCGTCTTTAGATGCAACAGTGCCTACTATGATCCAACTACCACAAGCAGCCATGAGGGTGGCCATAGTGTGAATGTGTTCTCCCTGTTCTGATTTGGAGCCAACTGTAACTGAGTCTCAAATGAATGAATAAGCATACAGCTTTGTCACTTAAAACCATGTGTGTCCAATATTACTGAAATACTGGGCCAAAATTCATCTCTGCAGTTAGGTAATGGAAGATACCACATAGTGAGGGGACAGCTGTTGTGACTACACAAGCATTCAGATTTTGCATCAGAAAAGCCCTGCTCTGGGATTAACTCTCCACACTGAATACAAAATGAAAGTAAACAGAGCTATAGGCCTCAGCTTTTAACTATTGCTGTTGATTAATCGCAGTTAACGCACGCGATTAACTTAAAAAATATCATCGCAATTAAAAAAATTTATTGCAATTAATTGCACTGTTAAACAATCAAATACCAATTGAAATGTATTAAATATTTTGGATGTTTTTCTACATTTTCAAATATATCGATTTCTATTACAACACAGAATACAAAGTGTACAGTGCTCACTTTACATTACAAATATTTGCACTATAAATGATAAATAAAAAATAGTATTTTTCAATTCACCTCAAACAAGTACTGTAGTGCAATCTCTTTATCATGAAAGTGTAACTTACAAATGTAGATTTTTGTTGTTGTTTCCTAACTGCACTCAAAAACAAAACAATGTAAAACTTTAGAGCCTACAAGTCCACCCAGTCCTACCTCTTGTTCAGCTAATCGCTAAGACAAACAAGTTTGTTTACATTTATGGGAGATACTGCTGCCTGCTTCTTATTTACAATGTCACCCGAAAGTGAGAACAGACATTCACATGGCACTTTTGTAGCTGGCATTGCAAGGTATTTACGTGCCAGATATGCTTAACATTCGTATGCCCCTTCATGCTTCAGCCACCATTCCAAAGGGCATGCTTCCATGCTGATGATGTTCGTTAAAAAAATAATGCATTAATTAGACTGAACTCCTTGGGGGAGAATTGTATGTCTCCTGTTCTGTTTTTCCTGCATTCTGCCATATATTTCATGTTATAGCAGTCTCAGATGATGACCCAACACATGTTCGTTTTAAGAACATTTTCACTGCAGATTTGACAAAACACAAAGGTGGTACCAATCTGAGATTTCTAAAAATAGCAACAGCACTCGATCCATGGTTTAAGAATCTTAAGTGCCTTCCAATATCTGAGAGGGATGAGGTGTAGAGCATGCTTTCAGAAGTCTTAAAAGAGCAACAATCCGATGCGGAAACTACAGAACCTGAACCACCAAAAAACTCAACCTTCTGCTGGTGGCATCTGACTCAGATGATGAAAATGAACATGCGTCGGTCCGTACTGCTTTGGATCGTTATTGAACAGAACCCATCATCAGCATAGAGGCATGTCCTATCGAAGGTGGTTGAACATGAAGGGACATATGAATCATTAGCACATCTGGTACGTAAATATCTTGCGACCCCAGCTACAACAGTGCCATGTGAACGCCTGTTCTCACTTTCAGGTGATATTGTAAACAAGAAGCAGGCAGCATTATCTCCTGCAAATTGTAACCAAACTTGTTTGTCTGAGCAATTAGCTGAAGTAGGACTGAGTGGACTTGTAGGCTCTAAAGTTTTACATTGTTTTATTTTTGAATGCAGTTTTTTTGTACATAATTCTACATTTGTAAGTTCAACTTTCATGATAAAGAGATCGCACTACAGTACTTGCATGAGGTGAATTGAAAAATACTATTTCTTTTTTTTACAGTGCAAATATTTGTAATAAAAATAAATATAACGGGAGCACTGTACACTTTGTATTCTGTGTTGTAATTGAAATCAATATTTGAAAATGTAGAAAACATCCAAAATATTTAAATAAATGGTATTTATTAACAGTACGATTAATCGTGATTAATTTTTTTAATCGCTGACAGCCCTACTTTTAACATTAATTACATTTACAAATTTAAAAATTCATAGCCTTTGCTCAAATTATATTCCTTTAAATGGCTTATTGAAGAATGAGGTCAGTCAAACTCCTCTGCAACCTTTAAAGAGCAACTAAGAATGTGGTATGTTATTTTGCATCACTATTATGTGTAGTAAAAGCAGTTAAATGCTATGTGGTCTCTTCTTTTTTAATAAAAATAATTCCTTCTTCAAACAATAGAAACTAAAAATCAAGTTGTTAAGAACATAGATTAGCATTTGTTTTCAAGAAAAACCATCTTTTTGGTCTCTAATTTAAAATTATTAATATTTTGAAGAATTACACAACTGCATAGAATTTTATTGATAGACTTGAGAAGTGTTTACATTTTAGAATTCACATCAAAGTTCCCATGTTTAAAAAGGATCCATTCTAATTTGATGATTATCAAGAAATTCAAAGGCTGAAATTCT